AATGTGCAAAATATGATGAGTTTGTAATTGTAATTTATCATTGCATTCATATTTTTTTAGATTTGCTTATATACCTAGATGGCTCAAAAAATTAATGAATGAGTCAATTTATTCTATTGATTAAATCAGTCTCGACTCACTCCATTTTCCCATAAATTTTTGGAATACTGTTATTTTTAGTCTAATCCACATTGATTTACGTGTCGTTGCAAAATGTTGATGATTTCATCACAAAATTGTGTACCTAAAGTAAAAATTTAACTCGAAAATGCTGGATATTTTTCATTGTATTTTATGGGCGAGGGAAGTTCTGTCGAAACAACTTTCCACCAATTTTTCTTGCTGTTATATTTGAACATAAACAGTTTATTTTATATCTTTTTAAAACATTATAAAGAAAATAAAAAGTTGTGTTAGACTGAACCTTGTGGGTTTCTCAATCTATTTTCCGCATTTTAAACTTTCAACTCAATTTCTCTCAAAATAGATAGAAATGGATTTCGATGGTTATTTCCCTGTACCCTTCATTCCAAAATAAATAAGCTTATCTGGTGTTGTTTACCGATTTGCATTTTATGACGGACTCCCTACAGTGACCATAATCTCTCCTCTCTTGGGTCGCTACCTGCCGTGCATCCGTACTTTGGGTTGCATAGTTACAAAAAATAATTCTTCTCACTGAAACCGATTTTGCGGCCGATGACTGGGGACCCTTAACTCCTTCACAATAGGATAAGGTCATAAAAACGAACCAGTAGTTGGAGCACTATACCCAGAGATATGTAAAAGACTAGATACAGATATTTAATGTTCTCGTGGACATACGTTTAGGGCCAAAATGTCAGTGTACGTTTATATCTCCCTCTTTTTCTCTAGCACGTATAATGGTAACCCGATATCTGAAGGTCTCGCTCTGTACGGCGCAACCAATCAGAGTTGGCGCAACGTTTGTCGTTGATGCCGTTCTTGTGTTTGTGCCGGTCCCTGTCAGACCACTCAGACTGTGGGTGGTTATGATTATTTATAATTGCCGCCATCAGAACGGGCCAATAACAAGACAACCACCTTTTAGAGAGTGATCGATGTAGCCTACAGTTGGCAATCCATAGTACTGGTGCTGATATAGAAAAGGATAGGCGATACAAAGTATTGCTACTCTTAGATCATAGATGTTGGCCCTAGATCGGGAAAGCTATAACCGCATCTGTCTTTTACATATCTCTGACTATACCTCCCTCAGAATCTCTAAAACCCACCAGCTCTACGACTAAATTACGGGTTGTATTTGACGGTTCTGCGAAAAATAACAACAACAGGAGCTTAAACGACAATTTATTAGTCGGGTCGGCATTGCAACAGGATTTGTTTACCATCCTAATCGCGTACTTACAGACATAGATATACCCGAAGTCAAAACGAAATGCTGTCTAAATACTATCAGTACACCCGAAAAAAATTAGTTAGAGTAACAGCATATTGTTTACGGTTCATAAAAAACTTTTTTGCGCGTTTTAAAAACGAAGCAATACAGATGGAGAAACAATATGGCAACTTATCAGTAAGCGAATTACAGGAAGCTAAGGTTACTATTCTCAGGCTAATACAAGAGGCAGATTATAAAAATGAGATCCATTCAATTTCAAAACATAGTACTGTAACACAAGCAAAATACGTTCTTTACTTCCATTTGTAGATAAAGATGGTCTTCTACGCGTAAGGGGAAGACTTAAGCACGCAAATATAGCGTTTAATAAAAAACACCCAATTATATTTCCGAAGAATCATTTTATCTCAAAGTTAATTGTAAATGAAGAACACAAACTAAATGTAAATTCGAGATGCCAAGCGACATTAGCCTCTCTAAGAAATAAATTTTGGCCAATTTCATGTACTAGTTTAGTGCGTCAAGTGATAAGATCGTGTGTAACATGTAGAAAAAATAAACCAATATCTTATGAACAATTAATGGGCGATTTACCAGAGAGTCGTGTTAACACATCAAAGCCTTTCAATTATTGTCGACTATGCCGGACCTATTATATTAAAAAATGGTTTTGTGCGAACTACTAAAACCATAAAGGCATTTATTGTTATTTTCATTTGTTTTACTACACGAGCAGTGCACATTGAACTAGTTTGTGATTGTACATCCGCAACATTTTTAAATGCACTAAAAAGGTTCATGTCCCGGCTTGGTAGGGTTTCGCACATGTACTCTGATAATGGAACAAATTTTGTAAGGGCAAATAAAGAACTTTTAATGCTTAAAACTCTTTTTGATTCCCAAGAATTTAATAACAACGTAATTAACGCTTAAATGTTACCCTTATTTTTTTCATACAGAATTGAGGAAAACCGATAAGTATTATTAAAGAATCATAGACTCGACTTTCAGTCAATATTTTCGCAAGACATACTCATTTAGCCGAATAAATTTTTATACGAGAAAAACTGCGAATAAATTGTCGAGACTCCCCAGAATCGTGAGATTAGTTTTTCCAACCAGATTGTCAAAAAGCAACTTGATTGAATTTATGAAAGAAACAATATCCGGTTAGAAATGAATGGCTCAAATGTATATAATTCAACGAAATACCTAATTTGATGACAGCCGATGTGAAAAATTCAAAATTCAAAACAATTCAAAACTCTTCAATATTACGACAAATACCAAACATACTCGATTCAAACCTCATCGCATCCCCACTCTCGCTCTTCCCACTCCACTGTTGATTGAGTGGAAGGGGAGCGCGTATCGACTATACATATATACCCCAGCACTTCCCGATGTAGTCAGTTTATCCTCTGCCTAGCACGATAAGATTTTACAAGATGTTTCAGATTTTGCCTTTCGTCACCCCTAATGAATTTGCTCTGCCAAATTTACCGGTAGAGATTTGGGTCATCATCCTGAGGTAAGTTATATTTTTGTTTTTCTTGTTACTTGTTACTAATATTTTGTTTGTTGCAGGTGTTTGGACCCACGTTTACCTGTGACTGCTGACAGGGGTACAGGTGAACTCGGCACCAAGCCTAATCCGTCATAAAATAAACAAGCCAATTCGCCACCACGCAATTTCAGGTAATTTTAAAAACTACCCTTTGACGATAGGCCAACTCGACACCAACCGCCTGCTTCAGGTAGTTCATGAATGAACCGGTAGTAGCAGCTTATGTATATATACATAGACGAGTATATATATTAAAATTTAATCTTATTTTTAGAAGAAAAATTGCATCAACTTAAAAACGGCATCTTAACAGACTACGAATTCGTCAAACTCGTATCGCATAGATACAAAATTTGTAATTATTAATAATAAAATTAATTGTATATAAAATAAATCATTGTATCTAAGTATTTTGCATTTAATAAAAAGTATTTCATCTAGTTTTCAATTATTACACAGGCCTGCAACAAAAAACGTGTCTTAACTTTGACAGGCTGTTGGTCTATTAGATTTATGGACATCGATAACGGAAAAAATTGCAAAAAATTCCAGCACGTTTAGATCCCCCCCCCCCCCCACAAAAAAAGAATAAGTTCAATAAAATTAAAACAGAAACCTTGCCTTGGCGTGTAGAGAAATGACTTATTTGATAGAGTTTAGTACGTTAATTACGGGAAAAATACTAACAAAATTCTATCACGTCTAAAAAAAGAGATTGTTTAAATAACATAACAATATGTTTGTTAACAGGAAATATTTGTACAGTTCATTAAATTAAAACAATTGTTCCAAAATATCTTTTATTATTTAAAATCATATATAGGTAAATGATTTTACCTACATATACATATAGCAGTGTTTTTTTTTTTATTTCAAAAAACTTTACAGAAACGAAACTAAACAATGGTATTACATTATAGGATTTCAACAAAACAATGTTTATTAACAAGAATCCTCGAGTCATCGCCTAGATTTTTAAACGTTAATCACGAGAAAAAGCTATTTAAAACATTTTATCACCTACAAATTTTAAAAAACCAAAAAATTAAGGAAATAAAGTAAAAAATAAAATCGGTCCTGTTTACAGAAAAATCACCTCATCCAATAAATTTTTGTATGCAGATTATGAAAAAAATCTATTACAGTATTTCTATAATATTCTTATACTACTTAAAAATTTCAGTTTTAATCTTGTTTTACAAGTAAACCTTACGTGAAAGCGACAAACAGATATCATAGACGTAATCAACGCTAAAAAAACTACCCAAGACAGCCATCAGAACAAAAACAAATTTTCAAAAGTTAAATTTGCAGACTTGTGTTATTTATTTGCACATAACGGTTTGACTAGAGGGAAGGTATCTCGGGGAGTGGGCGGATTAACCCTTGTTACCATACCTGCTGCTGTAGTGCCGAGTTCCCCGATCTTTATTTGGCCTATCGTACCTACCCGCCAAATTTACCTGCGATTAGTTGGTGCCCAGTTGGCGTCCGCCCCTTTTTGATTCCCAAGAATTTAATAACAACGTAATTAACGCTTAAATGTTACCCTTTTTTTTTCATACAGAATTGAGGAAAACCGATAAGTATTATTAAAGAATCATAGACTCGACTCTCAGTCAATATTTTCGCAAGACATACTCATTTAGCCGAATAATTTTTTATACGAGAAAAACTGCGAATAAATTGTCGAGACTCCCCAGAATCGAGAGATTAGTTTTTCCAACCAGATTGTCAAAAAGCAACTTGATTGAATTTATGAAAGAAACAATATCCGGTTAGAAATGAATGGCTCAAATGTAATTCAATGCAATACCTAATTTGATGACAGCCGATGTGAAAAATTCAAAATTCAAAACAATTCAAAACTCTTAAATATTACGACAAATACCAAACATACTCGATTCAAACCTATCACACCCGCATTGCATCCCCACTCTCGCTCTTCCCACTCCACCGTTGATTGAGTGGAAGGGGAGCGCGTATCGGCTATATATACCCCAGCACTTCACAATGTAGTCAGTTTATCCTCTACCTAGCATGATAAGATTTTCCACAATGTTCAAGACTTTGCCTTTCGTCGCCGCTAATGAATTTGCTCTGCCAAATTTACCGGTAGAGATATGGGTCATCATCCTGAGGTAAGTTATATTTTTGTTTTTGTTGTTAGTTGTAACTAATATTTTGTTTGTTACAGGTGTTTGGACCCACGTTCACTTCTGACTGCGGCCAGATCCTTCGAACTGTGGGAACGCATCACCCGGGGCGACCGAGTTTTAAGGAAGACCCTCAAGAAGCAACTACAGCTGGAAAAACTAAGACGCCGGGAGATGCTGAATCAGGGACTTTTGATCCCCATAAACAGGAAAGCAAGCGGAGGACTATTTGGATCCAACGCTAACAAGATTCTTCGTCCCCAGTACAAACACCACAATACCCGCAGGAAAAAATAAAACGTCATCCACATAAAAATCATGTGCCCCTTCGGAAACAAAAACAACTTATACAACAGTGTAAAATTATGAGATGTTAATAAAACCGATTTTATTATATCTGAAATTATTTGATTTTGCGACAATTTATTCGTGATAACCTTTACACATAGAAAAACATGCAGATAATCGCAGTAACACTGTAAGAAACAAGAAAGGCCCATTCCAACCTCGAGGTCCTGTAACTTTATCCGCTGCGTCACGAAATTTTGATGGCAAGAGTAAAAAAACAAGGCGGATTTATAAACAATAACAGCATGCTATTTTTAAGTGACCTGTACAAAAACAAACAGAGATGACGTCATTAAATTGTTGGTGGAGGTGATGAAACAAATTTTGCTTAGTGCTTCAGCATTCCTAACATATACACATAATATTTGACAACAATTGATCCAATAGTTTTGAAGATTATTATCTGTCTAATAAAAATTTCTACAGAGAGACAGACAGATGACAGACGACCAACAACAAACAGACAGAAACATGAAAGGCCGGGAAAACATAAAAGTAGCCATTCGTCGGATAGATCCTATTACAATACTTCATTAACTTACGCTCGGGCAATAATAAACACAACAAAACGACAACAATTAAAACGTCAAGTTATAGATTTTTAGAATACAAGACAACTCAATGTCGGTTTTTTTTAAATCAACCTGTTCACCACATTTCACTTTATAACTAAAATTTTATTCATAAATTTTTTTGACATTTCCACGTGTGTTAACAAAAATACATTTTGGGTTTAAAATATTGAGTGACTATTAATGTTTGGGATAGAACACTGTTGTCAATACTTCAGAACTGCCAATAAAAAAAATTCCTTCAATCATTAACGCACTCACACGGTATTTTATTGTGCAACACGTGTTTCGGTGCACAGGCAGGTGACGATGGTAACAGTTTATGTATATTTAGGGTTATTGAGGACGAATTTTTATATGAAGTTGTAAATTAAGCAAAGAGGATTTATTTACGTCTGTTTTGGTCATTGAATAAAACTTGTGCCCAGTAGCAGACCGAAAAATGAGCTAAATAGAATATCATTTTACGGGCGTAATTTCAACTTTGAAAAAAAGATCGACATTTCAATTGATAGATCATGTCTAAATCTCTGGGGAAGTCACAATATTTTTTAAAATAAGTGATTGTTTAGTGTTTAGTTAATCGTTCATTCTTCGAAAGAAATTGCATTTTTAGACGAGGAGAGAGCATTTTTCACTTCAACTTATATAGCAGTGCAAAGACAACATTGCGCTCTATGGGGAAGACCCGGTCATTTTTGTAAAAAATTTATATTTATCAAAATATCTGCTTTTTAAAAAAATACTGAATAATGAAAATAAAGTGAAACTAGGCAATTCTATTTACAAAAATGTGCTTCAATAAATTGTTGAGTTTTACACAGCAGGGAGCCTTGCCGACCGACCCTTTCAGGCAATCTGTTCAGGTACTTTCGATCATAAAACTCATAAATACTCTTAGCTGACCAACATTGCTGAAACTCTTTTACAAGTCGACTTCTTTCATTGCTGACATAATTTGATTTAAAGGTATACAAATTTTTATAATTTTATACATTCTATTAAAATATTTTCTTTCAAGAAATTATTCAAATATTTTTTATTAATCTGTCATTTTATATATTAATCAATACACAAAACTGACAAGATTTAGATTGTCATCACTTCACTAACCACTTATTTACCTGAACAATCATATTTATTTAAATTTAATTTTTTGATACTCTTTTCAGCACCACCTATGAGGTAGAGTATTATAGGTAGGTTTTTTACGTGGAATCTCCAGTAAACCTATTCCACTATTACTATTTATTCCTGTATGTGTTTATACTAGAAGGTCAAAAAATTTATATGAACTACACATGACGCGAATGCAAATAAAAAATTTTAATTGTACAATTTTTTCTTTACAATTTGTCTAATGGGTTGACTTGTTTAATAACGAGAATCTACTCTCCCCGGAAGTAAGGCATATAAATAACACTTTTTTTTAATAATAATAATAATAATAATGTATATTCGTGCCCAAACTGTACAGTTTTACATTCGTCAGAAAATAACAAACTAACACAACTTATATAGACATAAACACAAAAAAAAACATATACAATAATTATTGCAATCAATGTCGATTTAAATACTCGTCATAATCATAGTAAACACCGTTTATCAAGAGTTGTTTAACTACCTTCTTAAATTTGACAAGATTGAGATTTTTTATATCAGCCGGCAAACAATTATAAAATTTTATACCAAAGTACCTGTGAGCTGTCTGCGTTCGCGTTAGGCGAATACTCTTCAAACACAGTTTATCCCTAGTCCTAGTATTATATGCATGGAAATCCCCAAATTTGTCAAAGATATGGATATTTTGTTTTATATAGAGTAAACATTCATAAATAAATAGTGCCGGAAATGTCAAAATATTTAATTCCCTAAAAGCAGGGCGGCAATCAGCTCGATATGGTAGACCGGCAACTATCCGAATTGCTCTCCTTTGAATGGAGAATAGATAATGCCTGCAAGATGCGTGACCCCATATTAAGATTCCATATCGCAGGAAGCATTGAATGAAGAAACTAAAAGCGATTTTTAGAACTTCTTGTGACACTTGATTCGCAAGGCTTCTAAGCATAAATGTATTTTTGCTAAGTTGTTTCGCTAATATGACACCATGTTCTTTCCAAAGCAATTTGTCATCAATCGTGATTCCCAAGAATCTCGTAGTTGTTTGAATATTTGGTAAGAGTGTTAGATTAGCTAGATTTGGTGACTTTTTTAGGGAAAACAACATGTTGACACTCTTCCCCTCATTCAGTGCAAGCCCGTTACTACAAAGCCAGTCAGAAGCCTTTGATATCGCTCTCTGATTTCTGGTCAGGATTTCATAGCAGTTTTTGTCGGTAGTACTGATCGTTGTATCATCTGCAAATAGAGTTACATTATTTTCGTTTAGTTCTATGGGAAAGTCATTAAAGAATATTAGAAATAACAAAGGTCCCAGTACCGACCCCTGGGGAACCCCACGGCTGACAGGAAGATCTGACGATGTTGTTCCTTTAAGGCTAACTCTCTGAAAGCGTTCAGTTAAGAAAGAACTGATAATTCTGCAACTATCTGGATGGATGTTATATACGTATAATTTACGAATAAGAGTCTCATGTGATACAAGATCAAAAGCTTTCGTTAAGTCCAGGTATGTTGCAATGCAGTAATTACCACTTTCAAAAACTTCCGAAATTTGATCTATAAAACTTAGTAATGCGTCAGATGTTGAGCACCCTTTACGGAATCCAAATTGGTTTTTAACTAAGATTTTGTTGTCTTCAAAAAATTTCGTTAAGTGTATACATAACACTTTCTCTAAAATTTTCGAAAAGACAGGTAATAGGGATATAGGTCTATAGTTACTCTTGTCATTTATTTCACCTTTTTTGAACACTGGTATGACAATCCCTGTTTTCAAACATTTAGGAAAAGTTTTGTTTTGTATGCATAGATTTTTAATTTGGTGAGTGGTTTAATGATGACATCTTTCACATTTTTTATTAATTCCATGCTGAAGCCATATATGTCTCTAAATTTACTCAACTTTAAATTTGTAATAACATCTCGCACACAGCTCTCAGAAACTTCAGTAAAACGAAAATACATGGTAACATTATTACAAACATTATTACACATCAATCCTATAGGATCATATTTGGGGTCAGGTACATTTTCTAGTATATCATTGGCGATATTATTAAAATAATTGTTAAAAACATCAGGTGAGATATCGCTGTCTAATTTTTATAATTATTTTTATTTCGTTTACTGTTTATTACGTCCCACATAGCCTTAGACTTATTTACTGCAGTACCTATATATTTATTATTCGCCTCACGTTTTGCTTTCTCTATGCTTTTGCGATACATATTTCTATACAATGTTTTATATTCTTTAATTAAATTATTTTTTGTACATATGTACAAATCGTCTAGAAATAACAAATTACTTCGCATGATTTGTAACTCATAGTTAAACCACTTAACCTTAGCTCGGTTATCACAATTATTATTACCTTTGAGTATATTTTTTTTTTGGAAAACATATTATATATTCAGCATAGATTACATCAATAATTTTTTTAAATTTGCTATTAATATTTATATTATCTAGAGTTATAAAGGTCCAGTCTAACTTCTTTAGGTTATTAAAAAACATAGTTTTACCCAAGCCTGTAAAAGGGCGAAACGATTTAGAAACTTTTTTACTTTTGTTTAATAAGTTTGTCTCAGTTATAATTTGTAGACTAAGAGCGCTATGGTCAGATATACCTGTATTAAAATTAGTTACCCTAACTAGTGACATATCTAGATTTGTGAAAATGTTATCTAAGCCATTTCCTAATCTAGTAGGAAAATTAACATGCGGCCTTAAGCCGTAACTGAACAGCAAGTTAGTTAAGTTACGAGTATCTTCATTTGGTACAGTAAATGATGAGTTAAAGTCACCACCAATAAGTAAACTTTTCCTATTGTCATATAATAAATCCAACACTTGATTCAAAATTATCAGGAAATCAGAGTGCTTACCAGAGGGACTTCTATATATGGAAAGAACAGTCAAATTTTATGCAGGGATAAACACAGCCGACATTTCACATACTTTTTCCTGCGACAAGTTGGTGACTTCAGGGATGTTATTGCAAATAAGGGAGTTGTGAGTGAGAATCAACGATCCTCCATATCCATAGGTCCTAGCAAAGTATGAAGACAGATTGTATTGGCTTATAATAAGAGATTCACACTCTTGTTTTAACAGCCAGTGTTCACTAATACACAGCACTGAAAAAAATATTTTATTCTTCATGAGAAGGGATTCAAGCAGATCAATTTTATTCCTAATTGATTGGATATTGAAGAACAAAATTTCAGTCAACTTCAATATGGGTACTTCTCGGCTATCTTGTAATTCTTGGGTTACATGTTTACTACCAGTTAGGGA